TCCTTCCCTCCTTTCTTCTCTCCTTCCTTCCCTCCTTTCTTCCCTCCTTCCTTCTCTCCTTCTCTCCTTCCTTCCATATTTATACTTATATCTGTTATCTTATACATGCTTGACAAAATAAAAATAAAATAAAATAAGTTTACGCATTGTGCTAAACCACCCCGAGTTTGACTTGCCTTAACGTGAAGTGCAAACTCTAGACGTTCTGGACTGTAAATCGGTTTATATTGCCTAAGTGAACTTGTAGGCCAGAAATGCTGCAATACACCGACATCCTTGAAAGAGCAGAAAATCAACTAACTAAGAAGCGACACAATACAGCCGGGGGGCCTTTGAGGCTGTTGAGTTCAACCCCATGCTCGGTACAGAAATCCAGATTAAAGCATTTGTACTAGATGGCTGACCAGCTTCTGCTTCAACACGTTCAGTTAACCGTCTCCCTCAATAACTGGTTCCGCTGTCAGACTTATTTCTTATGATTAGGTAGCTTTTTTCCCAAGCATTCAGCTGAAGTTGCCTTCCTGTCATTTTAAGATTATTATTTTCTGTCTTATAGGATGATAGACCGTGACTATTTTTCCTCTGCAACACTCCCTTCAGATACTCGAGTTGTCTTTATTTGGCGCTAAACAAACAATCTCAATCTTTTTTGGGGGAGGGGGAGGTTTGTTTTTCAGTGTTAAAACCTTTTGTTTTATCAGCTTGGGGAAAAAGTTTGAAAGACTGGAGCTCTGAACTTGGGGCAGCATTCAAAGTGCCAATTGACCAAAGTGTAGCGGAGTAGAACTATGACTTTCTTTGATTTGGAGAGTGAACAGCTATTAATACAACCAATAACCATGTTTTCTTTTTCTTTTTTCTTTTGGCAGCAACATCAAACTATAGACACAGTCATACAAATCAATGAAGTGACTTGGCTCTTCCATAAGCAAATATTTTTATAGGTGGTTTATTGTCTACCAGCTAGATGAATCTCACTGCCTCCTAAGCTTCATTAAAAACAAGAAGGTTTACTGTCATCTCCATACTACTATTGGCTGATGTTCACAAGGAGCCTAAAAGAAAGTGAGACTGCCAGGTTTCCGAAAGATGCCTTGATTCATGAGCCTCGAGCCAAGTTTCACAAGAAAACCAGTCATTTATTAGGAGCACCATTTTNATGCCCCTCCCTCAAAGAGTTTGAGTTTGAGTTTATTGAACACTTATAGGCCGCCCTTTTCCCTGAGGGGACTCAGGGCGGCTTACAATAATGAGGGAAGGGAGTGCAAGATGAGACATAAAAGAAAATGTGAGTAAAAATAATTAACCATAAAAGCACAACATTCACTCAGCATTCGGGCGGGGAGAGAGTAAAGTCCTATCCCCAGGATAGGACTCCGCTGTTTTGTATTAAGAACTTTATAGTTTGATTCTGTGAGACTCATCTTTTATCAAGCCACTGTCTATTTTCTCAAGATTTTTTTTTTTCATGAGTATTTTAAGGTAAAAGTTTCCTTTGCACATATGTGCTAGTTGTTCCCAACTCTAGGGGCCAATGCTCATCTGTTTCAAAGCTGAAGAGCCAGCGCTGTCCGAAGATGTCTCCGTGGTCATGTGGCTGCCATGACTAAACGCTGAAGGCGCACGGAACGCTGTTACCTTCCCAGCAAAGGTGGTTCCTATTTTTCTACTTGCATTTTTACATGCTTTCGATCTGCTAGGTTGGCAGAAGCTGGGACAAGTAACGGGAGCTCACTCCGTTACGCGGCAATAGGGATTCGAATCACCAAACTGCTGACTTTTCTAATCCACAAGCTCAGCATCTTAGCCATCGCATCCCTCAAAGTATTGAGTATTTTAATTGGTTTCTAATGCATGCTCTGGAAAAACGGGATTTTCCACACAAAATATAATGTTCACTAATACTAATGCTCTTATGTTGGAAGCACCAAAGAACTTTCACGGTGAAAGGATTTACTGGTGACATTACGGTTGCCCGGGGGACACCTGGTTGGGGGCTCCTGTCATGTCTACAAGCGGTTGCCCACTGAAGTGGTGCCTATTTATTTACTTACATCACCCATTTTCAAAACTGCTGTGTCGGCAAGAGCTGGAACGTGTGATGGGAACTCACCTTGCCCTGCAGCAGCAACAGGTCTCGAACGCGAGCCTGCTGATTGTCAGCCCAGTGTTCTCTAACTTCTGAACCACCCTGCCCCACCATAATGTTCACTACTGAGACAGGATGGTTCTCTTAATGCTATGTTCTCCATCTTTGTGCCTTCTGTTTCTGTGGGACCGTCAGCTTTCATAATTAACAGCGAACACAATTATTAGCCATTGTTCCTGGGGATGTAGGATCTGATAAACAACATTTGGAAGTCGTAAAAGTTTTGGGAAGGCTAAACTAATGCTTATTAGTCCTGATAGCAGAAGGAACTTTCATATTCTTATGCCTTAGGTGTCTCCAGCCTATCAAGTATCAGATGGAAACACAAGGAGATGCTTATACACCATGTGGTTTTCTTAGCTAGCTACAGCTGCAGCTAGCTATGCAGAAAGAGAAGCTACTCTAGAGGGAAGATGATCCGTTGCAGAAATTTCCACCTTTTAAGTGTTGTTTCCAGCACTAAAAGTGATGCTACCCAACTTACACTGCCACTAATAAAAGCTGATATAATGCGCTGGCTAATTAGGGGTTAGCCAGAAAATAAAAAACCTGTTGGTTTGAATCTCAGTGTTTCACAGATCTCTCTTTTTCCCCCATTCATGATATAATAGGAAAGGACTATCAGTGATTTCTCTTATAGAATGACTGTTAATTTAGTCAACTAGATCAATCATGTATCTGCAGCATTTTGAACATTTGCAATGTAGTAACTGTACTACGGTTACAGATAATTCCTTCAAAGCTATTGAACTAAATCACAGAGCCAGTTCTTCTATTTTCCAGGGCATGTCGTCTTCACTGGGAT